GAGGAGAGAAAGAATTTTAATATTTATTTTTTAGTTTTCGGCGGACACAACATCTTTGTTTGTATGTGGTACTGAGGATCGAACCCGGGCCGCAAGCATGCCAGGCGAGTGCGCTACCGATTGAGCCATATCCCCAGCCCCCAGTGTCCTTCTTTGCCGCATTTGAAACAGGCACCTGGGGCAGCTTTTATTACCAGATTGAGTTGGGCTAAAAGGGCCTGTTGTTGGAACTTCCTAGGGGACTGGCTGGGGCAGGAGGTCAGTAAGGTGGAGTTCATCCGCAGATCAAGAGTCTAGGGACCCCTGTGGGGGATATTGATTTTGGTTATCTAGTTGATAATATGGCCAATTTTGTATACAGAATTTAGTGAGAAGTTTGGGTTTTATGTTTGGGGTGAGGGACAACCTGCTAAGGTTAGCCAGAAGACATTTTAGAGGGGAATCAGCAGGGAGGGAAGAGGCTCCCATAGTGACTCTTAAAAGGAAAAGGAATGAATGGCCCGGACTGGAACAGATTGTGGTTGAGTCTCCCACAGGTATCTCTGAAGGGAGAATCCAACCAAAGAGAGAGTTGGAGCCGGGAGGGCAAATGAGTCGTCATCCAAGAGCCCAGCCAGTGGGAGTCATGGGCCACCTGACGTCAGGACTTCCTCAGGAGAAAAGAATTTTGGGGACAGAGAGAGTGGAGAGTGCCTATTAAGCTCCTTATGGCTTCTCAATCATGAGGTGAGTATCCAGAGAGTCCACCGTGATTGTGAAAGCCGTGGTGGGGGGCCGGGGATGTGGTTCAAGCGGTAGGGCTCTCGCCTGGCATGCGTGTGGCCTGGGTTCGATCCTCAGCACCACATACCAACAAAGATGTTGTGTCCGCCGCAAACTAGTTGTGGCAAAAAGTGCATTTATTGTAGGCTGGTACTGGCGTATATAGAAAATGAAAGCCAGTTGTCTCAAAGCAGGAAGCCCCTGAGGCCAATCATAATGGTTAGGTCAACACATAGGGTACAGGTATATTCACTCAGCATGGGGTCCATGTGGAGCAGGAGCTGAGCGTGGAAGAGGGACGGAACTGGGGAATTTTCAAAACGACTTATTGCCTGCCGCCATGTTAAGAGCCTGGGCAACTCTTAGGGGACCCCCCCCAAAAAATAATGGAGCTTAGAGTATAGGATTCACTAACTTTATTTTATTGTTAACTCGTTCAGTTACACAGAAGGACGCCCATCTTACCACCAGGCTCTCTCCCCTGCTGGGCCTCTGGACTGCGGTTCAACGTCTGCAACCAGTTCACCACCGCCCTGAAAGTTAAACAGTGTGCAAAATTGAATGTAGACAAAAGCCCCTCTTCTCCATTTCGGCCAATACTCATTCTCACTCCCAGTCCCTCCCTGACAAAGGGCGCACCAAGCCTCAGTCTTGCAATATAATCAGACTGCACATGCAGTTTTCATACGAGGTGTCAGAAATTAAAGCAGTTCATCACAGGCTTGGAGCTTAATTAGTCCTTTATTACCTGCAGGAAGCTGAAGGTATGGAGATTCAGAAAGAAAGGCTATGGGCCAAGGTGGAGCCCAGACCGCGGCAGGACCCGGAGCGAACCCCCAAAATCCCACGCAGGGCCCACCTCTTACCCGTACAATGGCAAACCCAACCTGAGCGGCTAAACTCTCCAACCTCGAACTAGACCCCAAAAGGAAGCTAGCGCGCGAGGCACAAGCTTTTATAGAAACTGCCCCACCTCTGTGGTTGGGCAACCCGGCGGAAGTTCCCGCCTTCCCTCACCTGCGATAGGCTGCGCCTCCGCCAATCATGCCATGTTTTCACTAATTATGCCATAGCATTTCTTTGCGGGGCGGTCTCTCGGGGTGAGAACCGAAGCCCCACCTTTTTATTTGCTTCTTTTTTGAGACGACATCGTCTCGCTCTCTTACTCCGGCTGATCTTGAACTCGATCCTCCCGCCTCAACCACCCGAGTTCGTGGACTACAGGCCTGCACCACCAACGTCCGGCGAGCTCCTCCCTTTGGCGGAGGCCATTGAGCCTAACTGTGAGTGACGGGTGCAGAGAGCCAATCAGATATTGGTCTGCACATAGAGCGATTCAAAAGCCGCCTAGCGGCTTCGGAGCCGCCGGAAGTCGTAGTTTCTCGAGCGCCGCGCATGAGGCAGCCGGGATCTGGCGAACTACAAGTCCCGGCGGGCCCCGCGCCCGAGCTCTTCCGGATCGAGCCTCCAGTCCCTTTCCCGGCCGGTGGCCGCAGGGGCACGATGAAGCGAGCGGATGGCGCTGCCGCTCCCGGGCAGCCGCGGGCGGGTGAGTGTCAGTGCCGCGGCGGGGCTAGCGCCGAGGGGCCGCGCGGTCCAGAGGGGGCCCGGCCTGGGGGGCGGGGCCTACACGGGCCGGGGTCTCCGCGTCGGTGCGGCGGTCTGCCTCGCCGCTGGGCCGCCGGTCGGTGCGCTCCTGCATTCCCTGCTTCTTCTCTTCTTGTACTCATTGAGCTTCATCTGGGCACCAGTCACTGTTGTAGGCGTCTGGGAGACAGCGGAGGACGGGATCCCAGTCTCATTAGCTCTTCTGGTGCAGGGTTCCCCGCCCTCCGTACTATTAACAATTCGGGCTGAATCGTTCTTTGCTTGAAGGGACTGTCCAGTGCGTTGTAGGATGTGGAGCAACATCCCTAGCTTCTTACTGGAAGCCAGTAACCCCCAGCCCCCGTGACAACAGAAATGTCTCCAGACGTTGGCAAATGCCTCCTGGGTTGCAACCCATCCGGCACAACTCCTGGTGTAGAGAGGAGGGAAGGATTGACAGTACACAAAAACATGAGGAGTCGTGATATATCATGAGAGAAACAGGACGCTGAGAAAATGAGTACTGAGGGCTCCTGAATGGGGATGAGTGCTGTACAGTTGACCAAAGATCAGGTGAAGAAGCAGTCAGTCCTGGGACATTGCTGGAGGAGCATTCCAAGCAGAGGGAGCAAGGCGGGCAAAGACCCAGAGTGAGAATGGGCTTGGTGGAAAGGTGAGGTGGAGGAGGCAGGACAGCTTCACAGTGCAGGGTGGGAATTTTATTCGGCTTACAAGCTAACTGGGGAGGACGTGAAACTCAGGAGATGGATCAGGTGTAAGTCTGGGAGTCTCCTGATTGTATGTGAAGGTGGATTTGGGAATTCAGTGGAGACAGAAGAGAATGAAGAGGCTGGGCCAATGTCTCCTAGTCCTCTTTGGAGTCTAATTGCCCAAGTCTCCTTGTCTTGAGCAAGGCCAAGGTAGTCAGCTGGGACTGAGTCAGGTGGAATTCTACCCTACTCTTAAGACTCACATGCTTAGGGGTTCCATCTGCCCAGCCCATCTGCACCCTCATGTCAGCACCCTTCACACCCCTCCTCTCCTTTGGGATACTCACCCTTTGCCTTCAACAGGCTTATGGCCTCCTTTACTTCTTCCTTTTAGGCCTTTCCCTTCCCCAGTCCCTTTTCTGAGGATTTGTGTTAGGCACACCCTCTGCTATAAATCCCTGCTTGGCCTCTCTGGGAATTCACTTCTCTCTATGGAACCCCAGTCTCTGATTCCTGAGGTTTCTGTACCTATTTGCTGCAGTCTCAGGGAGCTAGAAGCTGCCACAGGGGGAGTAGGGATATGTGCAGTTTGGCTGAGGAGGAGACAGTCCAGAAAGAAGCAGCCAGGGTGGTGCCCCAATCTGAGAGTTTCCTTGAAATAACTCCCTGTGGCACTATGTCAAGGGATTTGGAAATGAATGGAGATGGGGTCTTCAGTACCCACTGAGAAGTGCCTTTGGCAGACTGAATGGAGACTAGTGGACTTCCAGCTCCTGAAGGGTCGAACTTACGTAAAGCCATCAGCATGTCTCTGCTCTCCAGCACCCAGCGGGTGTGAGCCTCAACCAGCTGGCTGGATGAAAAATATACCTGGTGCAGGAAATGGAAAGAAGATGCAGCTGAAGGGCTTTGCTGGACAGAAGATGCAGGCAGCCTGGACTCTGATTTAGCCAGTCTGGCTCTGCTTGGCTGCCTCAAAGCTGCAGTGGGGCTCCGAGGTTTGCTGGCAGTCATGGAGAAAGCAGAAGGAACAGGGCTTGGGTCAGCCTTGGCATGACTGGCTGCTGGCTGGGTCCATGGGCCAGCCTTCATTTTTCACAGCTCTCAGAAAGGAACCACTGTTAGCAGAGCCTTCATTCTTAATCATATTATTAACTCTTAGGCTCCTTTTAGGTGTGGGTACATCTTTACTCTGTCTTATAAAGATGACTGTCACCCAGTCACATATCTGTTAGAGTCAGGGGTGCCCTTTAACCCAGATATGTCTGAGTCTGTGGATTTGACAACTCTGTCACTCACCATATCTGTGATGGACACCTTCAGGGGTCCGTAGGAACACATGTACCCAATCCCATGAGATATCAGCTGGACTTATTTTGCTCTGAACCAAGTTGCTCACAGGTCTGACCTTACCAGGACGTGGGCATCTAACTCTTCATCAGCCCTCTGGAGGGCTCAGTTAGGAGGGACCTTTGGAGGGGGATCCACCTACCCCTTGCCCTTTGACAGAGACCTCTGTGTCCCTAGCATGACAGTCCCAGGATAGAAGGTGCTGCGGTTGGAGGAACATGCTGCCAGGTAAGCAGATGAGGAAGGAAAAGGCCACCAGGGGCTGGTGCTGATGATACAGGACCTGGTGCTTCAGAGTCCTAGGCAGAAGGATATAGAGTGGAGGTGAATCTGTCCCCAGGAGCACTCAGGCAGAAGGGGCAACCTTGCAGAAATCCAAGACTAAGGGGTGTCCAGTCGCCACACCATAAACAATCAAGAGATCTGGGAAAGAAAGGATGGCAGGTTGAGGCCAGGGGCAGGTGGGACAGCAAAGCCCATTCCTACTGCAGTGAGGTTGGAGCCTGGCTACTGGCTACTGAGCAGGGTCCTTCCCTTCCTCTAGCAGAGGGAGCCATGGATGCTGGAGGGCTTGGCTTGGGCAGGACAGGCCTGGAAGCTGGGTGTAAGGTGCAAGGGTGTAGAGCCCTGGGAAGAGAAGGCTGTTTACCGGGCTTCCATATAGTTGGGTCTGTGAGTGCAGGAAACAGAAAAAGGCAAGGTGAGGACAGGGACTAGGAGGGGAGAGGGGCCAAATGGGCCTCTGCGCAGGGCCTACAGAGGTTCTGAGGGGATCCTCAGGCCTGAAGCAGGCAAAACAGGAATGCTGCAGAGATTCTGGACATTACACCCTGCCTGTCTGGGATGGAAAAGATGTGCTAAAGGGACATTGGGAGAAGAGACAGGGAAGTGCATGTGGCTTTGCAATGGCAACCAGGACTGTTTCCATAGGGTTTGGCAGCTGGACCTGGGCTTGGGCCAGGAGAGCTGAGGCAGGGGCTGACCCAGGGGTTGGACAGCTTGTGGGATGGTTTGTGGGTCCCCTAGGCTGGTTCCGTGATTCAAAGAGCCATGCTTGGAACTTTGGCTGCTGTCCAGCCAATTGGCCACCCACAGCTCAGGCTTGCTAAAGCCTGTGGACCCTAGGCTCTTCTCAAGGTAGTTATAAGCCTAAGAGGACTCTCAGGGTGTGCCTGCTTCCTTCAGGGCTTAGCACATGATATTCAATGGATAGGCCATCCCTACCCCAATCCCTTGAGGATGCAGGAGGAGTGCCCTAATTGTGGGCTTGGCCTTAGTAGGGAGTTGGATCTATAGACTCCCTCCATTGCCCCTCTCTCCAACAGGGCCCACCTGGGCTGTCCACTCCCCCTGCTGCCAGCCATAGAGTCCAAGTAGCCAAGGATCCTGGCCAAGCCTGACCCAGATCTCCTCAGGGTTTGTCCCAAGGGAAAAGGATTGGAGACCTGTTTCTCACTCCCCCAACCCCAAAACATGATGCCTAGCAGATCTTGTGCTGTGGGGCTCCAAGCACTCCCTCCTGGGGGCAAAAGGAAAGGGCCTTACCCTCCTGATCAGGGTTTCTAGAAGAGGGGTTGCTGCATTCCATGTGTGCAGAGAGGAAGGTCTTATTGGCCAGGGAGTGCCCCCAGGATCTGAAGAACTCCCTTGGATATGGAAATGAATGGGCAAAAATCTCTGGGCCTCTACCCCAAACCCAAGTGAGGTTGCCCCAGGTGGAGGGTTTGGTGGAGCAGAGACTAGGGGAAGAGAGACTGCTCTGCCCTGTTTGCACATACCTACCCCACCCTGCCTCAGAACCCTGAGTACCCTTGGGTCACATTTACCAACTGGTGACAGCCAAGGTAGACAGCACCGTTTCTTCTGGGGTCTTTCCTCTTTAAAAGATAGAATCCTGCTAGGTGCTGTGGTGCACATCTCTAATCCCTGTAACTCAGGAGGCTGAGAAAGGAGAATCATAAGTTCAAGTCTAACCTGGGCAATTTAGTGAGACCTTGTCTCAAAATAGAAATGGAAAGGACTGGGAATATAACTCAGTGGTAGAGCACCCTTGGGTTCAAGGGTTCAATCCTTAGTACCACCAAAAAAGAAGAAAGAAAAGAATACCTGTTCTGTTCCCTGCTGACAGACAGACAGATGATCCTTGGACTTGAAAAGGAGGGGCAGGGAACTGATGGGGAAAGCCTTTTTTAGCCCACTCACTAAGGTTTTTCCTAGTTTGGAAGAGGGACCAGTCCTGAGGACAGCTGTTTCCCACTTCCCAGCACTGGGAACTAGAGGACCAGAGTGGCCAGGCTTCCAGGAGGCAGAGAACCGCTGGCAAATTCTTACTCTGGATGACAACTTCCTGCCCACCAAGAACCTCAGCAGTGAGGAAAAGGCACCCCACCCCCACTCTGGGGGGGCCAGGGCATACCCAGGACACAGCTTCTCTGTGCTGCCAGCCAGCTGGGTGCCGAGCTGCTCAGCATCTGCTTCCCAGGGGTTTGTCCTGCAGAGCCTCTCTGCTGTCTGGAGCCTGGGCCCGGGACTCCAGGGAAGACAGTTGTTGCAAAATTCAGTCCCTGGGGGGACTAGGCTAAGGGGAGGCCTCAGCATCTTGCTCAATTTGGAGATGCTGATGATGATGGATTGCTGCCTTCCAGGCAGGGCACACAGATGGGGGTGCTGGACTCCAGCCGGGGTC